ACTATGCCAGGATGCCAGATGGAAAGTACTACCAAAAAAAGCCTTACGAATAAGGACTACTGCCAGATGAAAGCAAATTATCTTTGTCACCAATACCTTTGACACAAAAATAAAAGAACCAGCTTCTTCAAAAGGCTTTCCTTTCCTATATGCAGTGGGCCAAAATTTCTTCTAATAATGTAGGATGTGACTGTAAATCCAAGCAGAATTTAGACCGATGGCTCTGATTGCCCTTTCAGTTGTCTCACTACTAGTTGGATAATGTCGTGCTATGATCCTTTTTAAAATATTGACAAGGACAGGGCTTTAACATGAGACTGAGGTCTTCTGAACACTGGATTTACTTCAGCTAAATGATAGAACTTCTACTTGGCTAAGAGTCCTAAGTCCCAGCTCTTTGTATAGTGAGAGGGCAAGAAGATCACTAAGATGACTGCTTCTGTTTAGGCATTTTTGGCTAGTATCAAGTTGTAAACTTGAGAAAAAAAAAAAAACTATTTGCACATTGAAAGCACCTTGGAGAAAAATTTGTAAAAGCTCACCCCTAGTCATTTTCAAATAAACCTACCAAAGTTAATCTTCCTGAGGCTACTTTATTGGGGTGACAAAGTTCTTTTAACAGGAAGAATATGGCAGGTTCCACCAGAAATGAAATTTTTAAATTCTTGTTAGAAAAAAGAAAATGTTTCATGCAAGCTAGCAATCTACCTTCTTTATGTACACGTCACAGCCTGAGGATCATTTTTCATGCCTCGATCTACCACTAGTGGAAGTACATCCAGCAGGTCAAACAGTGTTGCAGTTCACAACTGGCAGAGATGAACAAGAATCTGAGCCCGTGACTTCTCTTCCAGCAGTTCTGCCTCAAGCTCTAACATATCACCATTTAAACAAAGTGGATCAGGAGCAGGTCTTATGATTGTGTTCTTCAGAACAGGGAAATTGCAGAATGATTCATAAGAGATTACAGAGAAAAGCATATGTCTTAAATGCAAATTTAAAGGATCTCTACGTCTCCAGCTGCGACCTCAGCTAAGCAACTTTTTTAGGTCTGAGTCCCCACTCTCTGACATTGCTTTCTGTAGGGGTGAAACATAATGGTAGGGTAATGAGGTTGTTGAAATTTCTCCAATTTCTGAATTAGCAAGCCATACTCTTCTTAGAGGTGGCTTCAGGATACCCATTGCCACAAGTGGTCAACAGCTTGGTTTCACAAGTGTAATTTTTATTATGCTAATTGAAAGTTCGGACTTCTGAAGTGAGCAAAATGAGTCATTTTATTACAACTTTTTATTAACACTGTGCTGTCAGAGCATAGAAAATGGAAATCACTCATCCAGAATGTCAGAGGGCAACTACACAATTGTGTTATCCTTAAAAATTATACTCCTTCGTCTCATTCAGGCACACTGAAAAAGTTCTCCTACTCTTAATTCTTTTCCTAAAACCTAGTATCTTTGTAACAGTAAACATGACTTGGGAGAGAATCTGGATCAGTAGTTCCACAGTCTTTAGCCTTTTTGTGGCACATTACAACTTCTAAGACAAGACATTATCTGAAACAGTCTTTGAGGAAGTGGATTTTTGTGGGTTTTTTTAATCAGTTCTAAATTACTCTGTTTTTTTTTTTATAAAAAAAATAATGCATTTAACATCACACAGTTTGGGAGTAGGAGGGAGAATCTGCATCAAGTCAGGTTTCAGAATCATTAATAAGCTTGTTCTGCGTCTGGAAAATGAAAGAGAACAGTGTGAACCAGTAGCACAGATCTCAGCTGCACGTGAGGCAAGCAGCTAATTTCAGCAGTGGAGACTGTCACAGGCAGAGCTATAGCAACCGAAGAGCACAACTCAGATGCTTTCCCAGTACTTTCCTCCACAGTTAAAAATCTACCAGCAAACAGTACATCATCTCTTGCACAGCAATCGCAAGGCTTCCTGAACATACACAAGCAGCTGCACTCATCCATTCCGTGTGTGCAAGCATCACTGGTGCATACACAATCACACTAATTGTGTTTTTAAGAAACACAGCAAACACTGATTCTGTGGTTAACATCTGGAAATGTAAATCCTAGGAAGAAAACAGAAATTTCTAAGCTAGCATGCTTGCTTACTTGCTGGCTCACTCTCACTTATCCTTGCATTTTTCCCCTTCTATTGCTGTTTCCTTGTACCTACAAGCAACAGCTCACAGCAGTACCTAACCCGCAGGTCACAGAAGCTCCTCATGCAGCTTTGTTCCCACTTGTGCACCTTTGGCCAAGAGCGTGATACTAAATGATCAGGATCATTATTATATCTCAGCATGTCCTGGCTTCCTCCAGGAAGAAAATTGGAAAGGCTGATCCAGGAAGGAGCTGTGTGGTGCCCCAGTCAGTCCTGTAGCTGGAATAACCAGGGAGGCATGGCTGTGGTGTGTGCACCATGGAGCACCCCAACCCTGCAGGTCACACTCTGCCTGGGTTCCTGCCCTTTCTCTTTATCTGGGTCTCGAACAACGTGCCTCCGTCTTCAATAGGTTCAGCATTCTTTTAGAAGTTTGGATTTAATTCTGAATTCCTTTAATTTGTAGTAAGTCTTTGATGTTTTTAATGTCTCCTTGTAACACTTTTACAGTTACTTGAATAATGGAACAAAACCATTTCCAGATACAAAAATATTGTAAATACAAAAATACTGGTCTGCCAGAGCAGAGTTCAATAATCAAAGCAACAGTGGATTCCATTCTTTGAAGGATTGCTTTCAGATGCAGAAAACGACTCAACATGCTGAAGACAAGCCAACTGTTCTGCAGAAGTATTACTCAACACCCAGTTTAGTGACAAAGGTGGATGGGGACAGTACTAATTCAGTGTGTCGCAAACAGCCTAGACGTAGCCAAAAAAAGAAAAAGTGCCAAGTGGGATTTTAAATTTCTGGTCATTTAAAATATCTTTTCTATCTAAAATTAAGAACTAAACCCACTTGTTTTCACACTGAAGAGACGCAGGAACACTGCAGTTGGCCCAAAGGCTCTCGGAAGAAAGCCAAGTAAACGAAGGCCTAACATCATAAAACTGCTGGAGGAGGTAGTGGGTACATTGTCCCTTCTTTATTCAATACCCAGGCAGTGCAGACATTCACCTGGGGCCAAAGGGCCCAGATTCAATTCTTTCTGCCTGAAGTGAACTGAACCTACATATTCCACCTCCCAAGGCAATGCACTAACCATTGCTACAAGATAGCATGGAGGGACCACCAAAGCTCCTCAGCTAATGCCATTCTATTTTGCATAAATAATTAAAATTCACTGGCATGCTGAGTCCCAGCTAACAAAGCCTTTCTGCAGTGTGCATCCTCCCAGTCTCCAGGCTGTCGCCTTCCTCCCACTCCCTTTGTCACAGGCTCAATGAATATTTCAAGTGAGAAAGAAAAAAACAGCAGTGACCAAGGGAAACCCATTTCAGCCCTCTTTTACCAAGAGATGGTGGACCTGGTTCAGTCTCCTGCCCCGAATCAAGCAACGAGTATATGTGAGCTGGGATCTTTCACCTCTTCAGTGAGCGGCCTAACCAAGAAAATGCAGCATGTTCTGTCCTACTTTTCTCAAAAGTGTTCATAAAATTACCCAAAGAATCCCCACATCTGTCAGTTGGCTGCCAGTCTCTTCCAGACCAACACAGTAATATTTACAAGGGACTTTAACGAGGATTTTTGTATCTGGTTGGGAAGTACTGAAAAAAATAAATAATTCCCAACAGCATTCAAACTTTTCTAAAACTGTTCCAAAAATAAAAGTCAGATGCGGACTAAATTTCTGTCATCTGTCTCCTATCAGAAGTGCATGGAAGTACCGAGGCGAGCAACTCTCGGCTCACAGGGAGCAGCTGTAGTGGAATAACAGGCTGAGTATGGAAGGGGGAAGGAGAAGCAAACAGAGCTTCTGGGGAGAGGGGGTGATGCAACCTCAGGAAGAAGACCTTCAGGAAAAAAGTCACCAGTGAAGGCAACGAGAGGCAGTGTTTGAGCAGAAAATAGTTCCTTGAGACGCTGCTCCCAAAGGAAATAAAGGCAAGAATGGCCATGTGCTAGCAGCAGCTTAGGAAGTTACTGATAGCATTTTATTAAAGCAGAGGGAAATACCTCCACTTCACTCGATACAGGAAAAAAGAAGGAACTAGCTCCTGATTTTTGGAAAGTTAACTGTTGTGTTTAACCACATAGTGATGACATTGATTGTTTTTCACAAAAGCACGCTTTCATGTAACTATACAAGATTTCCGATATTTCAGAACCCAATCCCATCAGTATGAACTGCAATGTTTTCTTAACACAGTCAAAGCCTAAAAGCAAAACAGCTTTTCCATGTCTGTATATATCTCCCTCTCACATTTTTCATCCTGTATGTATCCTTGCTAGTAGTATTAAAGATAGAATTAAGATAAAATCCCATTATTTTTTTTTTTTCAATCCTCGGAAGAAGGTTAAGATGTGTTCAAAGATAGGAACACTTCTACTGGTACCAGCTGTGCTACATCCCCTCTTTGAATACACAGCTTTGAACAGAAACATATAAAAAATTGGTAAAAACAGATATCATACTGTAATCATTATATATTTAAGGCAATGTATTTGACCAAGAATAAAGTAATAACTAGAGATTGTAGACACTAAGGAAATGAATGCAAGGGGGAAAAAAAAGAAAAGAAATTGATTGTGAATGGACATTTCCAGGAGTGAAATACAGGTGAAATAGGCATCTAAATATTACACTATATTGCTGGCAAACAACGAAAAGGTATATAAGTCAAATCTGAAAGAACAACATTGGTCAAACACACACTACAACTTATTCCTACACAAATACTGTTTAGATAACACTGCAACGTTAAAGCTTACTTTTAACTTGTAATTTTTCCTTAATTCATGTGGTATACAACAACCATGTACATAAAAATGACACACACGTAGCAAAAAAGGAAGACCAAAAGCAAGTGTAACTGGAGTTTGGTACTCACCTCCTTCTCCTGACCCAGAGCCATTATCTGGAAAAGAAACACAGGGGGAGAAAAAAAAAAAAAAAGAAAGCAAATGAAAATATTGCTCCAGGAGCAGCTGTTCAGGAACTTTACACAGGTGTTACATTTCATGAGCCAGGTGTAAAAACAAACATGCCACATAAAGTCTGGCATCCTTTAATACAGTTCATCCATGCTTACGGTGCCCTACTCTCTCTCTTTCCTGTGAAGACATTTTTACACAAGGAACAGCATCATTCACGACTGAAGACTAAATCGATTTCTTAGCCTTTTTTCAACCGTTAGAGATTCAAATTTGTTAAACCCAAAACAGAGGAAGAGCACAGAGTCTGATTTTTGGAATATTTATGTTTTTACCCTCTGATCCTGGGAGTGGTACTTGGAGGAGTGATATATAAATCACCTGACTGCAGAAGTACCTCTAGAAGACAACTGGTCCTCAAAGTAAAGCTGGCTTAAGTCATCTAACTACAAAATAGCTCCTCTCAGCTGAGTCTATCACTTCACAGAGAGATGCTCTAATGGCATAGTTATTTCATTGACATTAGACTGACTGGATTAGCATCTGATGGGTGACAGCTTGTGGCTGCATCCCCTTTGCATTAGCAGTTCAAGTGTCAGCAGGACTTGAGCTTCCTCACCACCCCAGGCCAACTAACTCCACTTCAGAGCATTATGGAGCTGCATAGGGATTTTATACGGGGATGTGCATCCACTGGGCAGCGCTCTGCACAGCGCTATCAGCTAGCACGGCAGTAAAGACAAGCCCTTAAACCCGCGCTCCAAGTCACAAACCTCCCTTGGTCCTTCTTGCTCAAAGGAGGTGGAGAGGAGAGGACGGGATGGCAATTACAGTCGGTGAATTGCTCCCCACCCCCGTTAGTTCAGCTTCTCTGGAAGATGAGGAGAGGAGCAGAGCACACACTCTGCTCATCCCACACCTCCCCTTTCATGCCTGCTTTGATGATGGAGAAGGCAGCTGAATTTATTTCCACAAATCTGAAAGAAGGCGGCGACCAGGCAGAGGAGCTGGGTTCTTACTTCCACGTATGAGCTCGTTGTTCACATCAGAGGGAAAACCAAACCCTCTGTTTGCTCAGTTCCCTCCCCCACTTTTTCTTTAAGGAGTTATATTTCTAAGAATAATTCCTTCTAGTGTGTGGATGAAAGTGTGAAATTCCACGTTACTGGGTCACTTCACACATTAAAAATAATCTCCTTCACATGGAGTATCAGCAATAGAGGTTTTTTTCCCTCTGTCTAATTTTTCCTTTCTGTCCTCCTATACACTATTCCGTATCTAATAGACTGAGCTTATTACCTTACATAAATGAATGCAAAACCAGAAGGGCTCTTGTTCCATCAATAGTGACCCACTTTACTGACAAAGCAGACAATCCCATATAAAATGTCATTGTTGAGTCACTGAGAAATATGGCGTATAATGCAGCATTGCTTCATTAAGAAATTTGAAGGAGGATAATTTATTTATATGAGGTAAGTATATAGGCTTATTTGCAGTGGTGAAATTGTGCCAAAGCTGTTCTTTGGGGAGAGAAGTCCACAGGCAACTCTGTCTCGTTGGCAGGACATTCTAGTAACAGGAGAGATTAATTCCTGCTTCTCTGGGCTTTCAGGTCTCAAGAAACCATTAAAAAAAAAAAAAAAGTGTCATCCTCTATAACACTTTGCATTATTTTCAACTTTTCACTGGGAGCTGTGATAGGACTCCTGTCTCCAGGGTAACTGTGCTAAACTAAGCCAGTGTTCCTGCTTTTTTCTGAGCCTTGGCTAGATTTTCCTAAGCAGCTGCTGGTTAAAAAGGTAGCTTTTTTTTTTTTTTTTTGCAAGCTTACTTGGACAAGCAGCCTTGCTCTTTTCAGGCCTTTAACCAATTCAGGATTACCAAAAGTGGTCTCCATGCACCAAGACCTGGCAAGATAGATGCTCAAATGAGTGAGGAGGCTGGACAGAAATAGCATCCCCCCAGTCACAGGTCAATAATTAGAGAGAGACTTAAGCCACTCTTTTCCAAATAGGCTTGTAAAAATACACTTATACACAAATGTACAGGCTTCTGCTGTGAGCTGCTTTTAACCACGAAGGAGTTTCTGGATAAAATATATAAAGAAGCTCTTGGATCTGACACAGCATCTGAACGCAGTAAGCGGTAGGCTACAGTCAGAACCCTCCCTCCCCTTTTTTTTTTTCCCTCTCTGAACAGAAGCCATTTCTGTACCATGGGTCTGCTTTGGTGCAGAAGCAGAAGGTACATTCTCCAAACCCAAAAGAGCCTGCAGCCTCTCTCACTCAAGGAGGGATGGCTTTTAACTCAAACTAGCAGGAAAATTGAACCCATCTCTTCCCCATTTAGGGCAATGGCTCCGAACTGCTAAGTACAAACACAAGCAGTCCACTGACAAATTTTAAGCAAGCAGACCTTGCTTAAATTGAGTCACATGGGACAGGTTATCCAGTGGGCGCCTCTGGAGCAAACCTATCCAATCCTGCTCACAGAGAGGCAGGCAAAGAAATGCCAAAACACTGAATCTTTTTTTAGATCTATGTAAGAAACAGGTTGGCAGCTATTCAGTCATGGGCAGAACAGAACACCTCTTGACACATTGGAGGTAAAACTGTATACCTTTCCCCAGGAAACAAAGGAAAAAAAAAAAAAGATGTATTTATGGAATTTACGTATTGCAAGGCTTAGCTGACAGCTGAGAAGGGATTTCCAGCATCTGAACTTTGGCACCCAAGAGTTATTATACTCTTTATACCCAAGTCCCGGATTTCCCCCTAAAGCTTTTGGGGTACAGCTGGGGTGGGTTTAGTACAAAGACAGTACGTGCCACTTCTCTGCATAAAGCAGAAATTGGTCTTCCCACACCAGCACTCCAGAAACTTCACCGAGCAAGTCCTGGATAATGTTGACTTTTTTTATTCAATTATCTTCTGTTACTCATCATATGAAACAGAACCAGAAGACAGAAAGAGCAGCTGCTATCTCAAGTCATAGTTCCCTGTTAGCTAACTATATTCTGCCTGGATTTCCCAGCTAACAGAGCTAACAAAGCAGCCCCGTCCATAATGGGACAGGGTAGGTTTTCTGCCGTTTAACCCCTGGGTACACAAGAGTGCCTCTACCTAAAGATTGGATAAAATTATCAAGAACTTGCTACAAAAGAAGACCATCCTGATCTACAGTTGGCATTAGACATGGCAAGGAGGGCACTATTGCATTGCTCAGTGAGAGCTTTTAACTTTCTCTCAGCATGGTGTAATTCTGCAGCAGCAGCACAGACCCCCAAAACGTCCCAACAGCGCTGCAATGGCCAGTGCTTCGGAAAAGATCCGAAACCTGCACAGCCCATTTCAAGCCACCAGCCAGAGCAAAGTCAAAGCCCGCTCCAACTTCCCTCCGCTGGCAGGGGAGCAGAGCTCACGCCGCGGCACAGAAGCGGTGTGCGAAGGAGCACACCAGCTCAGCCCTCCTCCGGCTGGGCTCACATCCCCACCCTCCAGCAGCAGGACTGCCTGCTAGCAATTACACTTGATTTTGATATGCCAGCAGGAGATTTTTAGGGGGGCAACGCTGACAAGCCTAATTGCCAGCAGCTGCAAGGCCTCTGGCTGCTGGAGATAGGCTTTTAACCTCCGCCTTAACGTCCATTTGCTTTGACATCTTCAGGGGAAATGGATTTGCTATCACATCATCCTGGTAGTCATTTCCTCCTTAATTGTGCCATGCAACAAAACAAAAAAAAAAAAAAAGAAAAAAAGGCACAGGATATTAAATACTTGCATGTGATGATGGGGTATTTTTGGGTATGACTTGTTCTTTGCTTCCAAAACATTTTCTAATGACAGAAGGGTGACCTTGTGCTGTCGCAAACCCTCCTCGCAGACTGGATGGGAAAGCTCCTGCACTGCACTGAATCTGGGAGTAAGGGTCTTGGTCAGTCCTCAGTATGAATGTATTTTTTTTATAGCAGATTTTCAGGTTTGTTATGGCTTTCTTGCAGAGCATGAAGCCTTATTTTCACACTTCCTTATCTAGAAGTGAGTTGCCTAGAATGTCTTCCTTAACTCCCTCAAAAGGATTAAACTGAGCTTATTATATTTCTTTTCAGGACAATGTGTGCATCTAATTACGCTTCACTGTAAGCCTCCCACATAAAAAACATTTACTGTAAAAACCTGTGCATTCAAATTCAGGGTAAGAGTTTGATTACTTCAGACCGAATAATACTAAATTAAAGCCACTCTTCAGAGAACAATTTCTTAAATCCAACAGAGGTATAGTGTTTGTTTCTAGTTCTGCGAACAGCTTTTTTTTTTTTAAACTTTAGAAATCCCAATAAAGAAGCAATGGACTGTGCCTTCAAAATATATACAGTTCACTGAGAATCTGTAAGTACAATTTATCAAGTACTATATCATTGTGTGGTTACATTTTCATGTGCATATAATATAAATCTGACAGCAGTCAAAATCGTGGCTGTGTGCCGGCTAACAGGAACACGCATTCTTAGAGTAAAGGTCTATTTCTTGTTTACTAAATTACTTATTTACTAAATTAATTGATTTTATTCAAACTAATAAAACAATAAAATCACCAATGAAAGAACGCAGAAGAAATCAAGGGACTTGGTGACACTCCTCCTCAATGCTCTGAGAACCCTGATGGCCCTCTCTTCACTGTTTCTTAAATCTGTTTAGCAAGCCAGTTCAGGATAACCTCCAGTAGAGGACGGCATAACATGAATGAATTTCAGTGTAATGTCACCCTTTATGAACTGATCAAGGATTCAGGTCAGCAGCGAGACCGCTGATGCTGTGAGCTTGGCAGGAGTCCTGGTGTAGCTATTGCCATCTCCCCATGCCCTGTTGGATGGTACCGTCTCTGCATTTGGTTGTGGGCTGAACTGCAAACAGGGAACTGGTAAGGGTGAGAAATAAAAAACGAAAGGAAAAGGCTGGGACAGTGCTCCGATCTTGTTCGTAACATAATCCCACAGAGCAAGGAGGAGCAGCTGTGGAAGATGGGAATTACTACCAGCAAGGACTCTGTTTCGCAGCCCTGTTCGTCTCCACCCAGCCACAGACAGGGCGATGGCTTCTTTGCAAATGCAAAAGGCCAGGTTAGGTGTAGGCAAAAATTGTATAATGTTTGATTTGAGTTACCATTTCTCAAACGAATATGAAGGTATTAGGCAAAGAGAACACTAAAGCTGCATTTCACTCATTTTCCCAGTTTCTCTGTATTTTGCAACATAGAGCTACATGCATTGGCTGAAACCCACAGACACTCATCATCCACAGGTTGTGGCAGGTGTAATTAGGCATAGGAACATCTCTGTAAAGTCAGATATTTGAAAAAAACCAATGTCCCTTCATTGAAAAATGGGCTTTGACAATGTTAAGACCTGTATATGCTGTCCTGAAAGATTCAGCTGTACGTACTCTTACATTTCTCTAAAACACCATTTTTAATGTCAAAACTTGCATTTTGTTCATTCCTAAAGCACCTATAATTGACGTTTTAACGTTGCTTATTTTAGGATCTTGCAACTCTGACAGCACTCGGACAAAGGAAATACATATATAAGTATGCTGTTAAATAACCCACGACTGTAAAAAATTAATCAAAATGTTACCTGCCAAAAACTGGTCTGACTAAATCACTCAGCATAGTCTGTTTCAGTGCTGTAGGTATCAACCCCTAGCAAACGGGAAGTATTTAACTCTTGCATGAGATTCAGAAGTCTAACACCCTTTAGATATTAAATAGTTGTTACAACACCATAGGGGAATTTCATCCTGTTGTCTCAGGTGCATCCCATCAGGATGAAGCTTTGCTTTGAAAAACCAAAACTCTGATAGGAAACCAGTGAATCTATACTTAGCTTCCAATGACGTCCCAGAACAAAGCATTTTCATAGCAAATTTGGAGGCACTTAGTGAAAATGAATGGGGGTCTATAAAGGGTTTTTTAATTTGGGCATTTGATTCTCAACATATATGTGTTACAGATGAAGAGTACAAATATATTGACTTCTCGATGACCTATGATCCCCAGCAGGACATGTACAGGTTGTGGAGGATGGCTTTTGTCATCCAATATTCTCACATCGGCCAGAACACTCAGGGAGCAGCCAGTACTGTTCTGGTAGAGCTCCACCAAAGCACTTTAAATTGTGCCAGTGTAAAGGGAGTATGCAGCCTGAATCGCATCCTCAGTTTCAGAAATGTGTTTTCAGTACTTTCTGGTCAATTGTCTCAGCACACATCTTGATGTATAAAAATTATGCTGCGTTTCCTAGGTTTTATGTTGGACTTAAAGAAAAGGAGAGGGAGGTTAAAAAAAATCTCAGACTAGCTGAGTACTGCAGTAATTTGCTGCCAGCAACCTGAGGCTGAGAAGAATCAATTTTTCATTTCAAAATGTCTTTTTCTTAGTAGGGTAGAACACATATAAAAATAATCACTTTTTCTTTGTTGTTCCCAAAACATTACCCTAGTATATTGTTTTAGTGAGGGAAAGAAACTTTCATTTTGTGAGTCCGTTTCTTAAAATAATTTGGGCATGAAATTAAAAAAATACTTACTTATACATCCTCATTTCAAACCTTCTTAATACTTCTTGGGGGGTGTTGCAGGAATATGCGAGTGCTCCAAAACTTTAATGCATTTTTTTCCTATTTCTGCAGCATCCAGAGATAATTTACAGGTGGCAGATTGAGAAACAAGGTAGATTCAGTCATCTGCCTGAGGTATGCTGGAATTATGCAGCTGAGCTGCACACAAAACGCAGGCTTCCTTCAGTCCTAGGACTAAAGTCATAGCTCGTCTTGGACCTTGGTAAACAGCCCCAAATCTCAGTATAGGTCTGTCAAAGGCGTTACAGCAGCTCATGCAAAACACAGCCACAATCCATTTAAATGAGCTCTGGGAGTGGCAGCAGCAAGGAACTTGGCCTAGGTATACTGCCCAAATATTTACCCTAATTTCCAGGTAGGAGGTTGCCGCTACCAGTGAGTTCCAGGCCGCTACCTCTTAATTGTCATCAATAACTAGCCTCGCCAACGTAACACTAGCTAGGAGCGTGCAGTCATGCTTCTGGCTGCCATGTAGATACAACCTTGCTCAGGCTAATCTGAGTAACTGTGTATCAAAAGATGAGGGATGTCCCACAACGTAAATTTTTTTTTTGTTTGTTATTTCTGTACAAAAGAATGCAGTTGTTGATGCTACTCAGTCATTTAATTTAATTCTGAGAAAGCCAGCCCAGTGTCTGGTCCCACTAGCTTTGAATCTGTCCAGAGGTTCAGAAGATCTCTGGTGGCTACAGTTTCTGTGTCCAAGAGGAGGTTGCAATATTCAAGACAGTGAAAACCTGTCCTGTGTATTTTAAGCGTGTGGAAAATCTACGTTTTAAGTGGGTGGAAAGACAGAAAAGGCAAATCTATTAGAAATGTGAGGTACAATGATTTTGTAAGAGTTGTGCATACCTTCAAAGTAATGACCTAAAGTGAAATTAGTAAAAGATGATGCCTTGGATACAGGCAGAGTGGCAGTCAGGATGAGCAGTGTCACTTGCTGGATGTCACACTAATTCTGTATATCCAAAAAATGAGTCCTAAAGAAATGACTAATTTGGAGTCTGCTCCAAATTGGTTGTAAGCCTTTTGATGATATCAAGGCTGCTCTGTACATACAACAGAAGCATTCACAAACTATTTTCTCAGATCAAGTATTTCTACTTCTAATGTTTATTTATTAACCTGTTAGCGTATCAGAAGATATATCAGATTTCTTCTCTATAAAAATATTCCATTGCTAAAAAGGACTTTGGGTTTCCACATTATTTTATTCTATGAAAAGCATGAAAATTAAAATCTCTGTAATTAAGGGCAAAACTAAAGAGTTAACCATATAACGTCATGCATTAGTGACACAAAGTGATGTTTTACATACCAGAATAACAAGGTCCTCTTGATACCACTGTTATCTCTTTCTGATGCTTGCAAGAAGCTCTCCTGAGGAAGCATTCATTTTGGTAAGTGTCTCCATTTGATCCACAAACAGGAATATAGTTTGTGTGACACTGAAAAAGAAATTATAAAATTACTCAGTCATACAAAATCATGTGATTAATCTCATCTGAATATTAATATTCAGGACGATAGTTGTGTAAATATGAATTACTAGCAGTAACTTATAACCCTGTTCACTAAAGGAAGATTTAAAATGTATTAGTTTCTCAATATCACTGCATGTATTCCTTTCGGATCACTGAAATAATAGTCCAATTCCGTATGGGCTGAATGTAGGAATTCAGTAGGAAAGATTAAAAGAACAAAATAACTAGAGTGGGACTCATTAATGGCTAGAGGGAATATGACAAGCATCTAGAAGTATTTGAAGGATAAACACACTGAGGAAGGAGAAAACTTCTTCAAGATAATACAAGAATGTATGGCAAGGCATAGGGGGATCAAACTGAGCAAAGGAAAATTTAAGGTGAACTGTACTTAAGGGGAGATTTGCTGATCTTTTTGGTCATAGAACGATCTTGCAAGGGAGATGGAAAGCAATCACCATCCCCATTAAGTTCATGAGCATCATGAGTCTGTTTTACTTGGTCAACAACTATAATAATGCTTTTGTATTACTATACTGAAAAATTTTCAGCTCAAAGTCAGTAGCATTGGTACATTTAATAAAAAGCAAGTAATAAAGGAAAGCTTATAATTCGGAATGGTTTTGGCAGGAGCAGCCTGTATTTTGCTATTTTCTTACATTCTAAGCAAGATGGATTATACACCCCTCGTGTGTATAATGTGTATTAAAATGCTGGGACGCACACCGAGACAGGCAATCCGCCTAACACCTGCGAGCGCTGCACCGCTCCCTGCTGA